TTTCCTTTCCCCTATCCCTAGCCCAGTTTTTCTTTCCTTTGGGGCAGTTTCTTTCCTTTTCACAATATCTATTATACCTTTTCTATTAATCTTCATCTTCTTACGCTCGGTAGACAATATGACGTTTACACACGTGAGTCTTCTTTATTTCACTTATGAGGATGGCCTTACATAAATCTTCTGTTTTAGAAAAATATTTTGGGTTATTCTAAAAACAAAGCGCGAGCTCTTGAGCCTGTACCCCCTTGGCTTCCCCATTAACACTCGGCTTCAGCCGTAACGGCACTTGGGGATTTCCATATTTTGACCCTCACGCCTAATGCTGCAATGAACGTACTTGGGCAGATGTTCTTTCGTGGGTGCCCTTTGTCGTGGCCCCTGTGATCCTGGCAGTCGAAATGGAACACATGTGAAAAGTAAACAGGAAATGACTGCCTTTGTGAGGCTGCACTTCGGGTTGCAAACTGCCCTGGGCCACTGTTCAAAGGTGGCCCTGGAGTGGGGCAGGAAGACATAGCCTGAAGCCCCCACCCAGTGGCCAGGGTCACTGTCCTCTTAGTTACCAGTTTATGCCCCGTGCATACCTGCTTGTGCTGGGCCATGTGCCACCCAGGAAGGACTAGGGACTCTCCAGAGAATAAAACAGATCACAGTCCTTGTGTCCTTGTGGAGGTTAGACTGGGGCAGACCAGAACCCAAGACCTACATAAATACCACATATAGCATACCTGATAGTAACCTACTAGGGAGAAAACAAATGATACTGGAAGTGGGTAAAATTTTAGGTCTTGTGGTCAGGGACAACTTAGCATGACTTTTGAAAAAAAAATTTAAATAGAGATGCAATTTACATACTATGAAATTCATCATTTTAAAGTGTTCAGTTCAGTGATTTTTAGGGTATTCACTGAGTTGTGCACCATCACCAATGTCTATTTCAAGGATTATAAACGGGGCCTTTTGGGGCAAAGACCTGTTGCTGGAATCTTCTACATGCTCCTCCTTATGCACTCAAGGCTTCCCTAGGAGGTTGCACCAACAGGCTTCCCAGGTGACCAACCAGCACAGGTGAGGAGCACCCATAGGTGAGCAGAGGGGAAGAGGGTGCCTGGGGGTGTGTACTGGTCATATCTCTATCACTATGACAAAATACCTGAGACAATCAACTTAAGAGGAGGAAAGGTTTATCTTAGCCCACAGATCTGGAGGTTTCAGGCCATGCTGTGTGGCCTATTGCTTTCAGTCTGTGGCGAGGCAGCACATCACGGTGAGAACAGGTTGCAGAGAGAGTTGCTCACCTTACAGCAGCCGAGAGGGAGAGAGGTGGGGGGGAAGGGGAGGGGGAGGGGTGGGAGAAAAGGGTGGGGACACCAATAATCCTTTCAAAGCCACACCCCCAATAACCTAACTTCTTCCCACTAGGCTCCACCCTCTAAAGGTTCCACACCTCCCCCCACAGGTTGGCAGCTAAGCCTTCGGGAGTCATTCAGACCAAAACTACAGCAGGATCTTTGCTCCTCTGGCCTCGCCCTTGGGGATCTCCATCCTGACCAGAGGCCACAATCCCTTCCATTGGCCTGTCCTCTCCTCTCTCAGGATCCACTGGGTTTTTTTCTGTCACTTCAGGCCTTGAGGTTGACGCCTTACTGTTCCCAGCCCTGGGTACAGCAGGGTCCCAGTGGTCTCTCTGTCCCTGGCCACACAGCTGCAAACAGTCTCTCTAATAAAGTCCTCATGAGTTCCTACCCAGTCAGGGTCCTTCCAGCAGAGACTCAGCTCTGGCTGAAAGTGGTGTGCTGACAACGGTGTCGCCACCACATCACAGGCTATGGCTTGGCTGGGAGGTGGGGACCGAGGGAGTGTATGGGCCGTGTGGACGGGGGCTCGTGGACAGATTGTGCAGGTTCTTGGGCGTGAGTTCTCACTCTTGCAAGACCAGATTGCTTAGCTGAGAATGCACTGTGAAAAGCAAGGTCATCCCTCATGTGCTGTCTCTTTGTGCCCCCTCTTTTTTTTATTTTTAAAGAATACAAAATAGTGACAGAAAAAGAAACAGTTTTCAGGGGACAACCCGCTCCGGCCCCCCTTCTGTCCCTCTGTTGGATAGGAGCTTTCTTTCCCTCAATAAGTATATTCTGCTCATAAAAATAAAAAAAAGAAACAGTATTAGAAATGATACAAGATTTCACTGAACAAAGTATCAGGAATTCAACAATGGTTGATGAATTACATGATTCTATCTTCAAATTAGTTGTTCAGATTACCAGATATAAACGTGTCAGATTCGTTTAAAGAGAAAAATAATAACAAAAAAGTTATAAGAAATTCAAAAGAGGAAGAAAGAAAAAAGAGAGTAAACACAATTTAAGCGCTAACTTTTCCTTTTAAAGGGACGGCAGAAATCAACGCTGGTTATCCATACTATCCTGCGTATATACCGAAATATATTTTCCCTTCTTTCATGTTGCCTTTTCCTCATCCCACTTTTTCCTTCCCCCTGAACAATTTCTTTCCCTTTCGCCATGTCTGTTGTACCTTTCAGATTTTATTTACTCTTCCAGGTTCTCACGCTAGGGCTAGAATACGATGTTTGTACATGCGGGTCTGATTTATTTCGCTTACCAACATAGTCTCTAGTTGCATCCATTCATCTACAAAAGCTTCAATTTTATCTTTTTTATAGCTGAGTAATACTCCACCATGTAAGAATAACACATCTTTTTTTTTTTATCCATTCCTCAATTGCTGGGCATTTGGGTTGTTTCCAAGATTTATCTATGATTGTGCTGCTATAAACTCGGGTGCACATATCTTGCTGTGGTATGATGATTTCAGTTCTTTTGGAAAAAACACTTAGGAGGGGAATAGCTGTCCTAAATGGTGGAGCCATAATCCAGGGAATGACCCAAGGTGGCCAGAGCAGTGCTGAGTCAGAGTAGTGCTGAACCACGTGTCCATCGAGTAGTGAGTGGATAAGGAAAATGTGGTCTACACCTTAAACGGAATGCTATGCAGCCCTGAAAAGGAAAAGATCTCTGGCACATGCTGTAACATGTGTGAATGTGAAGGACGTTCTGCTCAGGAAAGTGAGCCAGTCACTGGCTTCTTCACCACAAAGGACAAATTGAACATGACTTCACTTACATGAGCTGCAGTTGTCAAAATCAGAGAAAGAAAATGTGGGAGGCTGCCAACAGCTGGGTCAGGGAAGGGGGATGAGGAGTTGCTGTTTAATTGATGTGGAGTCTGAGCATTACCAAATGAAATGCACTTTGGAGATGTACAAACGGCCACGCACCATTATCACTGCATCTAATAATAGTGCACGACACCCTTAAGAATGGTCTAGAGGCCAAATCGCATATGTATTTTGCCATGATAAAAATAATTGGGGGAGAAATGAATTTTTTTTTAGAATTTAAAAAATTATTCCCAATTTCAAATCATAGGAGCTGATGAACACTGCCAAAAGCACACTGCCTGGAAACATCGCTTACACGTTCTCTTTATTTACAAGCTACCTAACATATCTCGGCAGTGCTTTTGCTAAATTTGTATAATCTGCAATCGTGAAACGTGTCATTATTATATAATACTAATCTGAAGTGAAAACAGTGGCAGGATCCGCTCAAATGCATTTCAAAACTGCTGCCACGCTGAGTTGAGCCACGTCGTTGTGCAGCCAGATTACTGATACCACAACATGGACTTTCTGATGACTGTGTGTAGGAGTCTTGTCAGAGGAACACTGCTTCTCCGAGCGTCTTGCTGTGTTGGTGGCAACCCTGCGTACCATTTTGCTGGAGTCACCAGATTGCCTCGAGACGAGGTGCTGCGGGCTTGCTGTTGCTGATACTCGGCAGGCACAAGATGTGCGGCCGCACGTGCAGAGACCTCCAGCGCGCCACTCCCGGCGCCCTCCCGGGTTAACAAGCACAAGAAATTTGATCAAGCCTGTTTGGTATAATTTCCATCAGGAAAGAGACCAACGGAGAGCAGGTGTGTAATTACATACATTTAATATCAACTATTTTCCTAACAGGAGGGCTGACCCCTGTCTTGGCCAGCTCTTGGTGAGAAGCAGATCATCTGCCGATGATTCTATTTTTGCCTTGGAAAGGATTCCCTGCCAACCACAGCTCCTGTCTCAGTGCACTGGGGTCCTCATTTCCTCCGCCCTGCCACCTGCTGCCAGTGGTGAGCGCTGCAGGACTTAGCCACACCATGACACATCCTTCCTGATGTCCCTGCCTGTCATGATGTCCTATGGGTGAGCATGGCCTATCTGCAGCCCACAGCCCCTAGGCCTGGCACCTGCAGCCACCCTCCCAACTCTGCCTTGAGAATGCTGCAGCTCAAGGCTGCTGCCTCTGTCCTCCCAGGGCTGCTCTAAGGTAGAGACAGGATTTTCTATGCTCTCTGTCAAGCAGTGCACTGTACAGCCTCGGCTGGGCTGTCATTGTCCTCTGGCCAGGTAGCAGCAGCCCTTTCCCCTAGAGCCTGGGGGCTGTTAGGTGGGCACGGCCTGCCTCTTTAAAATAGAAGGATGTGCTTGGCCAGCATGGGAGAACTGAGATCAGGGTAATCCCCCTGAGGTCACCCGCCCCTCCTGACAGTCCTGCCTTTGCTGTCAGACAGGGATTAGAGGAGAAGCTGATGGATTAGAGGGGTTCATTTGGTCCCAGCCTCTCCCACTAGGCCAGCCAACCCCACACCCAGAGCCCTGCTGTTGGGGGCAGCTGCTGGCTAGCTGCTGCTGTGGGACCCTGCTAACAGGCTGGGGACCCTGGGATTCCTGGGACCCCACGCAGAAGGCTCTGGACGCCTGGGGATATAGACAGCAGGAGAGAAGGCTCCTGAGCTAGGGCTGCTCCCTCCTCCTCCCCGAGCCCAGAGAGTGCACCATGCTTGGGCTCTCCCCAAACCCTGGCTCCACCAGCACTGGGGTCCCCTGTTACCAGTGGCCATGGGCCAGGGCCGGCCTGCAGAAGATGGTGGTCATGCTGTGGCTGCTGCTGTCCAACACCGCCTTGGCCCCCACATGGGGTCAGTCCAAGATTCCTCTGGAAACGTAAGCATCAGGTCCAGCCCCTTCCCTTCCTCCCGTGAAACCCTTCCGTGACTTCTCCCTTCTCTGCCTGGCGGTCTCCCTCCTCTGTTCTGTCCCTTGCCAGCTATCAATGCCTAGTGCCTTGCTGTAAGGACTTTATCTTGGCCTTCTCTCTTCCCATAGTCTCTTCTTCAACTGGAGCCTCCCCCGCCCCCCAGCCTGTTGGCTTTGAGCAGAATGGTCTTCAGGGCCACATCCTTGCTGGCCACTTGAGTTCTGGAGTTGATCACCATGGCTCCCCACAGAGTTTGCCAGGAAATTTGTATTTTCATATTCTGAAAGGGTGAAGCAGTTCTAAACCGGAGGAGTGACTCATGCATGGGGGAGGTAGCTTGTCCAGGAACTAGGTGAAATTGGATTTTGGTGACCTCATTCTTCTTTCTTATACATTTCTGCCTTCTCTCCAGGTCTTAATGTTATACCCCACTGGCTCTGGGAAGGGACCTGGTGTCAATCACAACACCTTGGTATAAACTCCTGTGCAACCTCTCTGGGGTGTTCTTTAGTCTTAGGACCTGGTGGTCCTATTAAAGACATTTCTAATCCATGTGGGGAGCAGTGCCTTCTAGACCTAAGGTGCCACCTGCTCAGTGCATAGCTATGAGCAGCCCCTTCAGCCTAGCAGACATCCAGGCTACTGCAGAGCCAGCTGCCAACTCCGTGTCTTAGCGGAGGAGGGTGGAGGAGCCCGAACAAGGCAGTGTTTGGCTTAGGCGAGCAATCGATTAGGCAGGGTGGCTTTTGATGTCTGCCTGACCTGGAGTCCAGTGCCTTAGTCTGCGCAGGTTGGTAAGATGGGTGACATGATTTCTGTTATGCAGTTGCAAAAGCAGAGGCTTGGGAAGGTTAATCACAGGGCCAGGAAGTGAAGGCGGCAGAACCTGCACGGGGCCAGCTTGCTTTGCTTCACAAGGACACATGCTGTTGACCAGGGAAAGTACAAGGTGCCAAAGGAGATGCTGAGAAGAGTCTGCATCCCAGAGCACGGGAACTGTGCTCCCAATAGGAGCCGGCAAACTCCAGGGATGGCTGGGGGCCAGGGACAGATGGCTCAAACCAGACTGCTATGCAGGAGAACTCAGAGCTGCTGTCCTCGCAGCAACCTCAGAGCAGGCAGACAGTGGGGCCCGCTGTCCCTGGGCTCCCTGACCCCAGGACCCCTCCTTCTTGGTCTTCACGTTCTCTCCTACTGGATCCTTCTGTTTCATCCCCACCACCACCCTCAGACCCTCCCGCATCTCCTGTGCGATCTCCCGCTCAGCCCGGCCCATACCACCTGCCCTCCCCAATCTGTTCTCACCGAGGTCACCTAAGACCTCCCATTGTCCAGCGCCCTAAACATTCTTGCCTCCTCCCCCCCCCGCACCGTTTGCTTCGCAGCTTCCCGCCCCCCAAATCTTTCGCAGCCCTGCCCGCTCTGTTTCCCGCGCACTTCTGGGTTCTCTCTGCCTTTTCCAAGTACTCCTTTCTGTCTGCACAGCCGTGGAACTGTCTGGGCCCCAAGTGTGTGTCTGCACTGACAGATCTGCTTGTGCTGCACACTCTCCTCCAGAGCGCCCCTCCAGCCCCAGAACTTCAACCCCAGCCCCTGTACTCATAACTGGCAGCCCTGTCTGGATGAGCCAGACTCACATACCTAAGGCCTGTAGAATCCCCTTCCTGAAGGTCATGTTGTGTTTTAAATTCAGCGCTGGGTCTTTCAAAATACAGCCTGACTCGATGTCTTCCAGAGCTGTGCAGAGCATACTCTCCCCAGGGGCACTCAGTAGCCCTGCAGTCAGGCCCTCCCCTTCACCATCAGCCTCGCTACACTGGCCGCCTTCCACTCTCCCCAACCTGCTCTTCCTGACACTCTTTCTTTAATTCTGTTTGACAGTATTGCCATGAGTTCAGTGGCCCAAGCTGGAAACTGGAAGTCATGTTTGACTCCTCTGAATGCTTCTGTACTCCCTACCCAGAATTCCCTTGCTAAGCTCTTTGGGGGGTTAACTTCCACAGTGCTTTGACTTTGAACTCAGGCCCTGCCCACCTGATGAAGCCTCCCCTCAGCACCACTGCCCTTCTGCATGCCTCACCAGCCCCCTGCAGTCGCGCACACTGCTGTGCTGTGGTGAGGCTGTGGCTGCCTGTGCTGGATGCCGGGCATGTGATGCTTCAGTAAATCTGATTGGGCAACGGAGTGAATGCTCTTCTAGAAATGGTCGTGCAGGCACATTATGGTTACACCCCAGACTGTCCTGTGTGCCCGACCCAGGACCCCAGCACATCCTGATACTGTGCATGCCAACATGGGGGAATCGCAGTGCACTGCTAGGAGCTGAGTGAGAAGGTCAGGTCCTCGCAGAGCCGCCCACACCAAGGATGAGGCCAGGCCAGCCCTGCTCTCAGCTTCTGCAGAGGCCACTCCAAGCTCTCCTACCTCCTCCTGTGCTGTCCCTGAGGGTCCCACAGAAGGCCAGGGCGTCCCGGGTGACCTAGAGGAGGAAAACAGTGTGAACAGCTCATGGAGACGTGCAGCTGTTGTGGAGAGTTTTTGTCCCCTCCCTGTGGTCTTCCCTCATGGCCTGGTCTGCCCACCATCTCTTTGACTCCTTGCTCCACTCAAAGGCCAGTGTCCTTGAAAGCCTGCGGTCCAGCTTGGCTTTCAGCCCTAGACCCTCAGCGCGAGACCCAGCTCTGGGCTCGCCAAGCCACCACGTGGCTGCAGTTCAGTCCCTGGCAGGCTCTCCAACTGCTGCCTGGCTAGGCTGCAGCCAGGATGGAAAGGACAGGGACATTCTTTGGGTGTTTCTGGGTATCTATGAGTGTGCACGCATGCATGGGCACCCTGTACAGGTGTGGCTTTCTGTATATATTTCACGCGCATCTCTGCAAGTGTAGACCTCCTTTTGTGTGCGCCCATCTGTGGCCTCCATGCCCATGTCCCCATCTCTCTGCCTGTGCACATTCACAAGTGCACTTTCCTCCCTGGCAGAGTGAAGCTCTGGGCAGACACCTTTGGCACGGACTTGTACAACACCATCACGAAATACTCGGGCTCCCTCTTGTTGCAGAAGGTTGGTGTTTCCGCTCCCAGAAGTCACCCTGCGTCTCCTTTCTGGTAGAAAATCAGAGTGAAGGCTTGACAATCATCTTATCTAGCTCATCTTCAGTTGGGGACACTGAAGTCCAGAGAGGTGAATGATGTTGTCGGCTCAGTCCATGGGACCAGCACAGTGACAAAGAGGCCTGCTGTTGGCACCTCAGGAAGCCAAGATGGTGTTAGATTTGCAAAATGTTTGGGGAGTGGGCAGAAAAGAAGCGGGGGGAGCAGAAGGGCTGAGCTGCAGGCCTGAGCCCCATAACGGGGAAGGGCCCTGCAGCAAGGGCCAGGGCTTGCGCAACTACAGGAGGCAGTGCAAGACCCTGGGAAGAAGCAGCAGGGGGCCATCTGTTGGGGACAGCTGCGCTCCCCTCTGGTCCTAGGTCCTCTAGGCACACGCAGCAAAGGCATGTGCCAAGGCCTGGGCTCCGGGCCGGAAGCAGGTGGGGTTCGCGCTCCTGCTGCTCCTGCGTACTCTGCGTGCAGATGCATGGCTGGCCTGTCCTTGTACCAGATAACACCCAGCTTCGTTCTCCTCCGGCAGTTATAACTCCCAGGGCAGTTTAATAATAGCTTGCCCTTCTCTATTATTGCCACTTGTGAAGAACTTCATATTCATGATTAATTCTCCTCGCAGCTCCAGGAGGCAGCTCTTCCATCTTTTTGTTTTGTTTCTGGGATTTATTATTATTATTATTATCATTATTACATTTTATTTTTAAAGACAATACAAAAAATGGTAAGGAAAACCATTAGGAATGATGCAGAGTTTCACTAAGCAAAATGATAGGAATTCAACAATGATTAATATATTGCATATTGTTGTCTTCAAATTAGTTGTTCAGATTACCAGAGATAAGCCTAGAAGACTGGTCCAAAGAAATAGAAAAAATGAAAAGGAGAAAAAAGATTAAGCATTAGCTGCTCCTTTCAATAGGCCAGCAGAAATCAGGTGATATCAAATCTCAGCTGTTCCGCCCGCGTGTGACCACACTGCCACACTCCCTCGCTGCCCTCCCCACAGCCCCAGGTCCACGGCCATAGCCACTGCCACCACAACAGCTGAGTCTCAGCTGACGCTTGCGGCACAGCCGTAGGCTCCAAACACCAGCGCGTTTGATTTTCTCCTTTGCACTCTGCAACTCCAGATGGAAAAGACAGGGCAGTACTGATGTGGCCATGTCGAATAAAGGCAATCTACAGTCAGTGTACTCTAGAACATTCTCTAAACTATTGGAAACATCACATAGTGCAGAGGAAGAAACTGAGTGCCTTGCCTAAGGTCACAGGGCCACTAGGCTACAGAGCTAGGTCAGAAGACACTTGTGAGTCCCACACTCAGCGGGGGAGTGGACTAGAACCAGCCGACCAGCCTCTCCCAGGCTCCCTGGCCATGTGCAGGGGCCTTGAAAGGACCGTGCATTTTCTGTTGCCCTGGTGATGGGGCATCGATGTTTCAGGTGGGCTCACGGTTGACTTGAGCAGGTGCCCAAGCAGCAGCGGGACTCTGAAGAGTGTGGACATGGGAGCTGGGAGCCCGGGCCCCATCCAGGCCGACTTGCTCACTGGCCGTTGGCCTGGTCATGTTCGTTGGTTTTGAGTGTTGCGCTACTCTCCAGTAAAGACATTAACTGAGATGTGTCTAGAGCCCCTGAAATAGGACAGTGCAAAGAGGGAGCTGTTGTCGTCACTGGGGAGGTTATAGGAAGAGCAGGGGGCCTACCCTTGCCCCCAGTGGAGAAAACGAGGCCCTGCATGTGTGCACATGCTTGTTGAGGAGGGTACATGGGAGTCAGGGGCATCCCAGAAAGATGGTGTGTGCGTCTCTCCTACTTCCCGCTGAGCAGAAATACAAGGATGTGGAACCCAGTCTGAAGATCAAGGAGGTGGACGGCCTGGAGCTGGTGAGGAAGTTCTCGGAGGACATGGAGAACATGCTGCGCAGGAAGGTGGAGGCCGTCAAGGTTTGCCAACCCCACATCCCACCTCCTCTCTTGGCTCCTTGGAGGGTGTGACTGGGCTGAAAAGTCCTTTCAAGAACCATGCTGGTTTGGGATGGTCCAATTTCTGGCCAGGAGGGGGCTGTGGAACTGGGTCTGCTGGTTCATACCAGCTGGACCCCGCCAGCATCCAGAGGAGGTGCTTCTTGCCAGGGAAGGGACAACATTCTCTTTCTAACACGTGCTGCCAGGGTGGTGGATGTCTAGTGACAGAGTCCCCTGAGCATCTGTGTAAGCACCTTGGCTGCCCATGAGGCCCTGGGAGTCCTTGTGGGGGATAATGGGTCTTCACAGCTCAAGGGGCCAGGGGTTGTTGGGGAAAGGATGAAAGGAGAAAAGAGGAGGCAGTCACAAGGGAACTTTGCACTGAGTATGGACAGGAGAGGAGAAGAGGAGACTGGAGGGGAGGGGATAGGAGGAGAGTAGGGGGAAAGGAAAGGGAGTGGAGGGGGGCAGGGGGAGGGAAGGGGAGGAGGATAGAGGAGAGGAGAGCAGAGGAGAGGAGGGGAGGGGAGGGGAGAGAACAGGAGGGGAGGGGATAGGAGGGGA